TTATCTATTTGATTACTTGACCCTAACTCTAGCACTCTCCATTTTAATTCTATTTGATCTATTTGTTGACTTGGCCCTCTAACTCTAGCACTCTCTATTCTAATTCTATTTTATCTATTTGATTACTTGACCCTAACTCTAGCACTCTCCATTTTAATTCTATTTGATCTATTTGTTGACTTGACCCTCTAACTCTAGCACTCTCCATTCTAATTCTATCTTATCTATTTGTTGACTTGACCCTCTAACTCTAGCACTCTCCATTCTAATTCTATCTTATCTATTTGTTGACTTGACCCTCTAACTCTAGCACTCTCCATTCTAATTCTATCTTATCTATTTGTTGACTTGACCCTCTAACTCTAGCACTCTCCATTCTAATTCTATCTTATCTATTTGTTGACTTGACCCTCTAACTCTAGCACTCTCCATTCTAATTCTATCTTATCTATTTGTTGACTTGACCCTCTAACTCTAGCACTCTCCATTCTAATTCTATCTTATCTATTTGTTGACTTGACCCTCTAACTCTAGCACTCTCCATTCTAATTCTATCTTATCTATTTGTTGACTTGACCCTCTAACTCTAGCACTCTCCATTCTAATTCTATCTTATCTATTTGTTGACTTGACCCTCTAACTCTAGCACTCTCCATTCTAATTCTATCTTATCTATTTGTTGACTTGACCCTCTAACTCTAGCACTCTCCATTCTAATTCTATCTTATCTATTTGTTGACTTGACCCTCTAACTCTAGCACTCTCCATTCTAATTCTATCTTATCTATTTGTTGACTTGACCCTCTAACTCTAGCACTATTCTAATTCTATTTTATCCTTTAACACTTGCACTCTCTATTCGTTTTCTCACTGCTTGTTTTCTTAAAAAAGGCCTCTAACACTAGCTTTCTCTATTCTTTATATATATATATATATATATATTAGTGCTGACCAATGCTTAATCACGATTAATTGCATCTAAAATAAAAGTTTTTGTTTACATTATGTGCATGTACTGTGTATATTTATTATGTATATATTAATACACAAAAATGCATGTATACATTTCAGAAAATTTTTTATGTTTATGTATTAAATGTATTTATATATAATATAAATTATATCAATATAAATATATACATGTAAATATTTTCTAAATATATACTGTATGTGTGTGTATTTATATATACATAATAAATATACACAGTACACACACATACATTATGTAAACAAAAACTTTTATTTTGGATGCGATTAATCGTTTGTCAGCTTTAAAAAAAAGAAAACAGATAGAATAGAAAAAGAATAGAGCAAGCTAGTGTTAGAGGCCTTTTTTGCTTTTGTTAATTGTATAATAAGTAAAAAGAAAACAAAAAGATTAGAGAAGCTAGTGTTAGTTTTTAGAAAA